CTGATTCATCTCATTCGGACTTCTAGGAATATTATTTGTTTTCAATTTCAGGAATTTGATAATATAGATTTTCCATGAAGTGATAAGGTTTTTATCGTAATCAAAGTTTTAATCTTATCCCTCTTTTTCTTTCACTCAGTTTTTTCCTATCTTTCAAACAATATCTCATTGACTATAATATTTAAAATTTATGTAGAAAGCCTAACATTGGAATATGGATATTTTTATTGAAAGAGAAAAGGAAGTGTTATAATAATAATTGGATTTATCAGTTAGTAAATTAATGATTTTCTATGCTTATCAAATCATCGATTTAGAGAACGATTTCTTAAAGAGAGGCTAGGAGATTAGAATAATTAAAAGAAAGCTGAATAATGCTGAATTATAGCAGGTAATATCATTCATTTTCAGACTTTACTATACCTTGTTCATAACATATATTTATACTTAAGTAAATAATAATTGTAATAAAGATAAATTCGTTAACTGTATTTTCCAAATCTTCTTTGGAACAAATCAATTCTCATTTACATAATGACTTACTTTTTCGATATAAAGGTTGAATATATCTCAAGTTATACTGCCTATTTGGGGCTTATTTTTACCAGAATAGAGGTAAGTTCGAAATACTGCCCATCGCTTGAATAGATGTCATGCATTAAATCATTCTCATCAATAAAAATCGTCAACCGATAAGTAAGTGATATCTGGAAAGAAGAATACAGCTATATTGTTTATTACTAAGTAGTATTCGGGAAGAAAAATATGACCATATATCATTTGCGTACTAAATAATATCCGAATAAAAGATTATGATCACAAGCAAAGCAAAACATGAGTTGAAGAAATTATCTGTGAAATACTTTCCCATTACTTTCATTGCTAGAAAATTACATTAATTACTATTAATAGGTGTAAATTCTATTAAGCATATTGTTAAAATCTGTCATTTACATTCTTCAGTGAATATTTCGCTCAAAAAGATTTTATGGAAACTAATCTTAGCATTTGGTCCTTTTGTTCTGAATTATGGATATCTGTTGGCATTTTTTTGTTCGAAAATGTTAGAATGATAAATGGAGAAGCTAAGAATATTGGTGATGATTGGTTCCAAGTTTTAAGCTGCAAATATTCCAAAATTGAAAGTTTGCACTCTAACCATGGAGTTAGTGCAAGACAATTTCCTTCCTTCATCTATCCCTTATCATTTGTAATATTGCTATAAGAAAAAGTTGCAAACTTTCCTGTTGTATTACTTTTATCATTGCTTGAAAATTAAATTTCTTTCAAGTGATAGGAATTATTGTTTTTTCTAAGGATAAATTATATTACCAATGATATAATTTATCCTTTTAAAAAATCATGCGAAGATATAGTTGAAATCTTTTAATATCTATTAAATTTCCTTTTTTATAGATATGATAAGCTTCAATTCACCCAACCATTAATTTAATTTCATAAGTTGTATATTTCAAATATAAGCTAATCCATTGTCGACTGCTAACATTGATATTTAAAGTGAAAATATTTTAGAAATGAAAATGATCAGTTCGATTATAATACTCTTTCATAGAATAATACTCGAGAATTCTCATTTCTTCAACAATATTATTGCTTATATTAAAAAAAATAAATAAATGAATGATATGAAAATATAATAATAATAATCTGATCTAGATATATCTTATATATCTGTTATAGTTAATCAATATGGAAAAATTTTAAATGCTTTTTTTTCAAAAATTATACAAAAGCTAATAATGTTATGTATATTTTAGCTGACGTTAAATAGCATCATCATCATCATCATCATCATCATCATCATCATCATCATCATCATCATCATCATCATCATCATCATCATCATCATCATCATCATCATCATCATCATCATCATCATCATCATCATCATCATCATCA